GATTGGGGGAAAGATTCTTCCTCGTGCTCACTGGTTATGTCTCATGACATCAGGACACTGTGCTGAGATGCTCTGGGGAGAGACATGTGCCCTGTGTGGTGCTCAGTGTGTGGGTTCAGAGCCTCCGTAGCCACTGCCGCCACCATCACTGCTGATACCATCACCTAACATGGTGGTGGGGGAACTCATCCATCCCTGGAAGGGCAGTCAGTACTTTAAACTGCAGAACCATCTCTCCAATCCTATTTCTTCCCCCTCCCCCTCCCTCCCTCCCTCCCTCCCTCCCTCCCTCCCTCCCTCCCTCCCCCTCTCTCTTTGAGGCAGGGTCTCACTATGTAGCCCTGATTGTCCTTGAACTCACACATGTAGACTAGACCAGGCTGGCCTAGAACTCACAGAAATCCACCTGCCTCTGCCGCCCAAGTGCTGGGCTGAAAGGCGTGCGCCTCCACTCTCAGTTTCCAGTCCTATTTCTTTGAATGCGTTCTTTTGAGTCACTCTCTTTGTGGTTTCCTGGACACTATAATTAGCATCTTAATTTATAGCAATCTAGTTCCGATTAGTATTAATTTAATTACAACGGTGGCCCAAATTTTGCTTTCTCATAGCTCCATTCTCTTCCCAGCGGTCTGTTATTGTTATACAAATGACAACTTTGTATACTATGTCCGTCAATGCAAATTTATAATTATTGCTTTGTGTAATTGTCTTTTAAATCATATAGAAGACAAGAACCACACACACCAATTGTATTCAAACTGTCTAGGATAATTTCCCACACTGCTACACTTAACAATTAGTCTCTGGTTCTGTTCCCTCCTTCTCCGTCGCAGTCCATCCTTGTTTTGTCTCCTTCGCTGACTCCTAGTCGCTGTGGCCACGTCCCTAGCTGTGTCAGCCCGCTTTTCACCTCCTGTGACAAAATACCCGAGGACACTCACTACACAGAGGAAGGCTTCCTTTAGTTCCTGATTTCAGAGGGCTCGGTCTGTGGCCACTCGGCCTCAGTGCTGTGGGCTGTGGCAAGGGAGGACGTCATCATGGCAAGGATAGTGTGTGGGAGCAAAGCCTCTCTCCTCATGGTGGCCAGGAAGGGGAGAGGGGGAGAGAGGGAGAGAGAGAGAAGGGGAGAGGGAGAGAGAGAGAGAGAGAGAGAGATTGAGAGAATGATGAATCTATCTACTCAAACTTGTCTCTCCCTCCTACATTCTACCAATAATACCATCAAACATGGCCGGTGAGAGTGCTCATCAGGTAAAGGTGCTTGCTGCCAACGCTGGCAGCCTGAGTTCTATCCCTGGGACCTACCCAGTTAGAAGGAGAGAACCAACTCCCATAAGCTGTCCTCTGATTTCCACACGTATGCCGCAGAGTGCACATACAGTGAGACCTTCCACATAGTGAGGGCTGGTGCTGGGTTCCTGGAGTCCAGCAGGACAGAAGCCTGCCTTCTGATCAGCAGACACCTGGCGCCAGCCTCCCTTGGTTTTGGCTGTGGTTTTTATCATGTTCATTGATCATCGGCTTCAGTTTCCATGGTGATCCTTAACCAACAAGACCATTCAAGAGGTGTCCTACCCCACCCTTGTTAGAGGAGCAAGTTCACTGCGGGAGTGTTCTTCAGCCTCGAGCAAAGGTAAGTATTTTGGGTTGGGAAACTGAGTCCATGGGTCTTTCTTCAGAAGGGGAGCTCAAGACATGAAGAACTCACTGGATTTGATAGCTGATTGTGTGTGTGTGTGTGTGTGTGTGTGTGTGTGTGTGTGTGTGTGTGTGTGTGTGTGAAATTGTGTGTGCTGGTCAGAGGTCAACTTTGGGCACTATTCCTCAAGAGCCATCCACCTTTATTTTTAATAGAACATCTTTTATTTGTTCTTTCACTTCATACATGTAAACAACGTATCTTCATCATATCCACTCCCTCCCCCTCGCCCCGCCGCACTAATTCCCCTCCACACATTCCCCTGCCCCCTTCATGTCTGCTCTGAATCCTCTCTGAACTGCTGCCTGTGTTGATTTATCTACTTGGGTTGATCCTGTGCAGGTCTTGTGGAGGTAACTGTGGTAGTTTGAACGGGAATGGGCCCCAGAAGCTCAGGTTTGAGTGCTTGGTCCCCAGTTGGTGGACTATATAGAAAGGATTAGGAGGTGTGTCCCTGGGAGTGGGCTTTGGGGTTTCGAAAGCCCATACCAGGCTCAGTCTCGCTCACTCTCTCTGTTTCCATCTTGAGGATCAGATGTAAGCTCTCAGCTACTGCTCCCACACCATGCCGACCTGCCTGCCACCATGCTTCCTGCCATGACGATCATGGACTAACCCTCTGAAACTGTAAGTGAGCACACCATGAAATGCTTTATTTTCATAAGTTGCCATAGCCATGCTATCCCCTCACAGCCACGGTGACCCTATTACAGTTGCCATTCGTGGCAGTGAGTTCCCTGATGCAGGCCAAGTCCTGAAGACAGTGTTCCACGGAACATCTCTCCATCCTCTGGCTCTTACATTCCTTCCTTCCTTTCCTCTGCAAGGCTTCCTGAGCCTTGGCACCTATATTCTGTTTTGAAACAAAGGCCACACACTGGCTTGGAACTTCCTTTGGCTAAAATGGGTGGCAGGTAGCTGAGATTACATGTATATCCCTCCAGGCTTTTTGATTTTTTCTGAGACAGGATCTCACTGTGTAGTCTGGCTGGCCTCACACTCACAGAGATCTTCCCACCTCTGCCTCCCAAATACTGGGATTAAAGGTGTGTGCCACCGTGACTGGCCACATGCTCAGCTTTTAAAATGTGAGTTCTGGGACTTGAACTCAGAACTCGAGTCCTTGTGCTCACCAGGAACGCTCTTTACCCACTGAGCCATCTCTTTAGCCTGCGTGGATGATTCTTCTCTGCTTTTACGTCAGGTAGGTCAAATGTCTGACAAGAAGACCAGTAAGATAAGGGCAGCTAGTGCCTCTTGTCCTTGGGGAAGGTAAGCAGGGAGTACTTTGACCCCATACTCTGGGTTCCCAAGCTGCCTCAGTCACAGAAAGGAAGCTGGCTGAGCAGGGCTTCCCAGTGGGCAGCACCAGGAGACAGGCAAATCAGCTCAATACCCGGCAACAAGAAACTCCCAAGGCACCTTATATGTATGTGGGGAGTGGGGTGGGTGTGCGCCCAAGAGGGTGCATGCAGCCCAGAGGTGAGTTTAGAGATGCTCCTCTATCTCTCCACCTCATATTTTGATAGGGCCTCTCACTGAACCTGGAGCTTACTGATTGGCTAGGCTGAGCAGCCAATGAGCTCCAGGGATCCCATCCCCTACCAGAGCTGGTGTTAACAGACCTTTGCTGAGACCTTGTGCTCAGCCTTTTTCTTTTCTTTTCTTTCTAACATGAGTCTTAGGGATCTGCTCAGCACTTGCTTGCACATCACTTTATGGACTGTGCCATCTCCCCAGCCCCCCTCCCAGGTACCTTTCCACGAGAGCTGCCTGGCTGTAGTCTCACCATGAAAGGGATTAAAAATAAACTGCTCTCCACCAGCTTCATCATGTAGAACTCCAAAGGCCCCCAAGCAGGGCATCTGGCCTAATTTCATGTTCTACCCAACAATAATGATACTCAGTCTGCCAAGTAATAATTCACATTGAAAATAGACTCTAGGGAGCTCTGTGACCCACCGATCTTGGTTTTGGAGGCTGAGTCCCACCGAGCCTTAGTATTAAGTACATCTGACATATGAAGTCGGGTGGCCCACAGTTAGATGCCACTTTCCCTATAATTGAAAACATTGCTTTGCAGCTGCCAAGAGAGTAGACACAGAAATGGAAAGTGGTGGCAGCAAAGAGACTATCACCATGCCAGCCAGAGCCAGGTGGGCAGACAGAAGGGGTTCTGGGAGGATGCAGTGGCATCTGGCCCTGCAGAACCAGAAGGCAGAGGTGAATAGGAAGGAGCAGAGGAAGGTACAAGGCCTCCAGGTCCAAAGGCTGACTGTGACCCTGGTCTGCCTTGCACTGGCTATGGAAGCCAAAACCTGGGCTGAAGAGCGCTGCCTTCATAGCACAAGGACCTCGGTTCTATCCCCAGTGCCGAGGAGAGAGGCACCTTGCTTACCTGGGGAGTTCCAGGTCAGTGAGAGACTGTCTCGACATTAAAGGGGGGAGGGGGGCTGGAGAGATGGCCCGGTAGGTAAAGCTCTTGCCATGTAAGCTCAAGGGCCAGAGTACACAGTAGTGTGTCTGGGACCCCAACTTTCCTGTGGTGAGATGAGGGCCAATAAGAAAACCCCCAGAAGCTAGCCTGGCAAACACAGGGGCAAACAAAAGACCCTGTTTCAAACACAGTAGAAGGTGAGGACCAACACCTACAGTTTTCCATTGATCCCCCCACACAAACCCAATGGTGGGCAAACATGCATGTGTGTATACTTGCAGACACTCATAAGCAAAGATTGTTTTTAAGGTGGACAGTGCTTGAAGAATGAGACCTCCACTTGCACACACACGTATCTGCATACATACACACAAGAGAATCCAAATGCCACTTTTGACGGTTCTTTGAACTTGTCTGTGAATTGAGATTGGCTTTCAGGGAGCTGCGTTAAATATATTAATGAGATGTCATAAAAGCACCTACACAGAGAAAGTGCAGAGCTGAGCTCAGGCTCTCCTTGGATGGGCTGGGGACAGATGATCTGCTGGACGCCCACAGCATGACGCTGAGGAAGGAGGGGGACACCCCTGAACCATATACTACTCCAAGTATCAACACTCTATGTCCTTCAGAGACAGGTGTGTCTGTCCACAAGGGTTGGCTTGGGGAAACCCAGTCAGCCATACAATAGCCAGGAAACAGAAAGTCCCATCCCTCCCAAACTAGCTGGATTCCAGTATGTGTGTGTGTGTGTGTGTGTGTGTGTGTGTGTGTGTGTGTGTGTGTGTGTGTGGAGGGAGAGAGACAGAGAGAGAGAGAGAGAGAGAGAGAGAGAGAGAGAGAGAGAGAGAGAAGCTGAAGGCATCTTCCAGTACACTTTAATCAAAATTCCATCATCACAAGAGCTCTTGTGGCATACAATGTCAGGATGGGCATGTCAATGTCAACTTGGTCCTACAAATGGAACATCCATGGATCCGCACTTCAAACATGTATGAAAAATAAAATATATAATATTTATAGCTTTATAAATTTCCCCACTGAATCACTTTCTCTTTAAAATAAATTATGATATATGATGTAGCCTGGAGTCACTAAGCAAGTAGCAGCCAAATGACACCCGTTTTCTCCAAAGTTCTGGGGGGAAATACTCGGTGGGGACAGTCAGATGCTCACAGGAACCAATGTGGCTTACAAAACAAGCTCACTCTTCACAGTGGGCTGAGCATCAAAAGAATATGGGAGGCTTCTAATAGCTGTTCATTTTTTGTGGGGAAGAAAGTAAATCCCCAAACCACACCGAAGGTTGTAGAAGCTGCAAATGAACTTTTGGCACCAGATGAGAAGAGCAGCTTTTCAAAGCCAACCCAGCGATGATCCTTAGAAGCGTGGGTCTGAGAGGTGGCAGAGGGGAGGAGAAGGCCGTGGGGGACCTTCCCCATGGGGGGTCTCTGCTTTGGGGATGGCGGGGATTGTCTGGGCAGCTGGCCCCCCACCAGCTGCGATTCCCTCAGAGGGAAAGACCAGAACACACAGGAACACTGAGGGGGAGACCATTTTGCGGATGGGGGTAGCGTCTTTGCGATGTGTTCGGTCAAAAGCAGGGATGTGCGCACACACAAGGGACACAGGCCACCCCAGTAGGGTGGTCCCACAGCCATCAAAGGGGACGAATAGGAAGCACACACGGGATACCAAGGATCCGAAGCACAGGTAGGGCTGGGCTCCATTAGCATTTACAGGGGCTGGAGGAAGGGCTCACAGACTTTAACAGAATCCCAGCAGGAAGTGGCTCAGGACTCTTCCCGTGGGATCCTGGTACTACCCCCCCTCCCCCGAAAAACCGACAAAAATCAGAAGGAACAAATGAGCCTAGGACAAGGTGGCCACACAGCCTGTCTTGGAGGTTTCCTGGGAATAGGCTCTGGCTCTTTTCTGTTCAGGCCAGAGGTTTTAGCTGAACTGGGGAGTAGATGGCCTTGAACTCCCCAGAACAGCCCCATCTTGGCCTCCTGGACAGGGAGAAGGGAGCTACAAATCCAGGAGACGCTCCTCGCACGTCTCCACGGGCCACTTGGAAGCCCCTCCAAACACATCGACATTGTTGTCCACCCACGGGATGATGTTTCCAGGCATGTTCGTGGAGCAGTTGGCGATGTTGATGATTTCTTGTGCCCGGAGGACACGGTCCCATATGTTGAACTGGCTAAGTTCTCCGACAAAGGCCTGTGTGGCATCAAATCTGCCTCCCACGGTGTCCTGGAAAATGGAAACAAGACACTTTGGGGCAGGCTCACAAGGAGAACTGGCCTCCCGACTCTCCAGGGAAGCAAGATGGAGAAAACCATGGATTCTACAGGTCCTGAAGCCTCATGGCATTTGAGGTGTGGGAAATGGCTTTACTCAAACCACCCATTTTACACAGGGGAAACTGAGGCAGAAGGGAAAGACAGTTGCCTAAAGCCTGACTCAGCCCCTTTCAGGGGAGAAGTAATGGAGGAGATGAGGAAGGAGGCCATGAATGAGACAGTGAGCCCTCAAAGTGCTTAATGATCACCAAGCTAGCTCTTCCCTGCCCAGGACCAGCTGGCTTCTTTCCTGCTCCTCACCTAGATAGTTCCCTGAATCATCTTCCCAGTTCCCCCGCAGGTATCCTGGGTGTAAATGCAGGCACTCACAGGGACACTGGAGATGCCTTCCTATAAGGCAGCTGGACCTGAGTCACTAGATGACCCTGTGACTATAAGGACACGCCCACACCTCTTTGTCAGATACTACATTGCAGTGTCTTGGGCTTTGCAGCTAGGGAGCTTCCTCATGGGGCTGGCTGTCAGGATACAGTGGCAGGGTCTGGGAGAGAGATACCTTGGGCAAGAACAAGGGGATCCTGGGTGGCTGAGTTGCACAGCCCCCTTTGCAGATTCCCTGAGGGAGTACCCACCTGCTCCTGCCCCAGGATGAGCACACCCCCAGGCTTGATGGGGTGCCAGGGTGCCAGGTTCTCCCCAGTGCCGAGCTTCTCCCCATCCTGGAATGCTTCCCACATGCCATCTCGAGTGGTCCAGGTGATACAGATGTGGTGCCACTTGCCATCACTAACAAACAAGGGCAGCTGTGCCACCTGTGGGTACCAACATGCAGGTGAGGACTTGCCAGGGCCCAATCCCACAGATTGCTCCAGGGATGGGAGTGTTCCACTACCTAGGATTCCTGCTGGGCTCCCCCTCCCTGTCTTGTGAGGAATACACCCAACCCATCTGCCTTGCATGTGGCAATCCCAGGACATTGGACATTCTTGGTTCTGGGTCTGGCTACAGACTGACCCTCCCATGCCAGCCTGACCAGTTCCTTGTGTAGGACCTGACCAGTAGCACTCAGGGACCTGTGTGTGTCCAAAGCCTCACCAGTGTCAAGGGAAGGGCAGGAGGCTCCATGCATGTGTATGTCAGCATAGTACAGAACACATACAGACCATCACATACAGACCCCACACTCAACTACAGGAACCCCCTAGCAGCCTGTGAGCACTAGGCTAGGATAGCCCTGTTGTTACTGTTGGTCTCCTAGCAACCTGAAGTCTCCCTCTCAGGAATTGGATGTTTACAAGAGGTCTAAAGGGAGAGGAAAACAAGGCCCTCAGGCACTACATTGTTATTTAGAACAATAAATCCTTAGCTCAGGCAAGTTATCTCTGCTAGAAGACTCGCAGGCTCACTCCACTGCACAGAACTTTCAACTTCTCTACGGTGCTCCCTAAGTAAGAAAACACCTCCCAGTGACAGTTTGACAAAGATCACAGATAGGCAGGGGTCTCCTCTGTGCCAGTCCCAAATGGAGGCTGGGCTTGGGGCGTCTACAGCAGGGGCAGCCGTTTAATGCTGGACTAAGGACATTCTTTTATTGTGTTGGATCTGACTTTAGGAGAAGAGAGACAGTTTGGTGTATGCCCCCAGCAGGCTTTAAATTCAGTCATCCTGCATTATCTTCCCAGTTACTGAGAGCCTGCCACCGAGCCCCACTAGGTGGCTGAGTGACCAGAGGCTCCAAATTAAGTCTTTCAAGGAACCATACTCCTGAATGCCTATGGAAATGGGGCATCTGCGCTGGGAAAGGCAAGACTACAGAGCAGCAGAGAAGAGCAGTTGCCAAGGGCTGGGCAGGCTCTGGCTGCAATGGTGGATGAGGGAATGTGGCAGAGGGCTGTTCTATATTTTTATTGTGATGTGATTATACAACTGTGTGCATTTGTCAAGGTCAGCTAAAACTGAAACGTACACTTCAAGGGTCGGTTTTACCATGTGTAAGATGTATCTCAATACATATGACGCCTTTGAAGTGTATGCCTACACTCACATGGGTACCCTCAACTAGAGCATCTGGAGAGGGACCATGCAGGCTGCCCCTGCATGTGGAGTCTGCTTTCCTACCCCTTTCCTGTCCTTCAACACCTGGATCCTCTACTGCCTCTTGGCCAGACTCAGAGCCCAGGTCTCCACGGGCTGCAGATACGCTATGCCACCCCCATCCCACTGCCAGCCCTCTGGAGTGGGAGTGCCTCCTCCACGCTGAGGAGGTGGGTGAAACAGGTTATGGCTGGCCAGGATCTGCTGTGTGACTTTGACTGACTTCCTCTTGTGTCTACGCCCTTGGACACCAGGGTGAAGTTCGAGCAGGCCTCACCTTGTCGTTGATGAGGAGCTCGATGGGATTATTACCCCACTCTATCAGCACAATCTCATTGGCTTGCCCAGGCACAGCATAGGAGAATGGCGTGCCGATGCCCGGGGAGGCGCTGGACCGCAGCCACAGGCAGATGGTGAAGGCGTACAGCTCGGGCAATGTCTTCTTGATCTTGCCATACAGGTAGTTTGTGCGGAGAGGAAGGGACACTTTGAATGCATCTGGTGACTTGAATGCGCTGTTGCCTGGGTAGAAGGAAAAGGGGCTATAGCAGGCCAGCCTGGCCAAAGTACACCTCATCAGGACCCATCACTCAGGCAGACGCAGAGCACTTCAGCTCCTGGTCAAAGGGCCAAATCCAGCAGCCCTAGGGACAGTCCTTGCCTCCTGGAAGCTCACAGTCTGGTGGGGAAGACAGACCAGAGCCAGTAGAAGGGAAAAGGGACAGGAGGCAGTGATGTCCGTTAGGAGGACAGTGGCTAGAGGGAGACTAAAGGGTGGATAAAGAATCCTGAGAAGCCTGTGACGTGAGAAGGCCTGTGGGTTTGGGCCCCCACACGCAGCCTGTTAGGAAAGAGGCCTCGGGGCTAGAGAGCTAGCGCAGTTGCTAAGCACACTTGCTGCTCTTCCAGAGGACTTGGGTTGGATTCCCAGCAGTCACAGGACAACTCACAACCATCTGTATCTCCAGTTCCAGGGGTTCTAACCCTCTCTCTGGCCTCCACAGGTGCTGTGGCATACACACATATATCCAGGCATATACACAAAACAATGAACATTTTCTTTTAAAGAAGCCTCTTCATTCCCATCTATCTGTGTAAAAGCCTTGCTGTGTAGCTTGTTGCCCAGGCTGGCTTTGAACTCACAATCCTCCTGCCTCAGCCTAGCAAGTAATGGGTTTACAGATGTGTACCACCACAGCCTGCAATGTTTCTTTAAATCCACAAGGAAACAACACAAAAACAAAAACACCAACTCTGGTCCTTTCTGATGGCCATTTTCTAGCCTCACAGTCTCGATGACTGGAAACTAGAGGAAGAGTCTAGAGAGAAACTGGATTTAATTTTCTTGTTCCGTAAAGCCGGGAAAGTCTTCCTCGGCTGAGTCTTGTTTCCTCCCATCTTTCCTGGAGCTCTCAGCCCCTCTGGCTTCTTTCATAAGGGCAGGCTTGGAAACCCGAGGGACCAGGGCTTGGAGGAGGAAATGTCTCCTGGGCACATGAGCACCCGATAAACACTTGTGAGCAAGCCAGCCTGCATTACTTGTCACCGCAAATGATTAGCACTGGTCAGGTGAAGGCGTCAGGCTTGTGGTCTCCACACTACAGCTTTACTCAGAAGTGGCAGTTTGTCTCAGTCCCTGCTGGGAAACCCTTTGCTCCTAGCATGACCTTGCCTCCTCAAGACGGAACTGCATTGCTGGACTGTTTTCTGTAATGTGGAACCAGGGGCAGACAGATACTTGCAAAGGTACCCCCACCTCAGGCTCTTATCCAGACCTTATCAGTAGTGGTGAGACCCCACCCCCACCCCACCCCACCCCCGCCATCTCAGGCTGTCCTCATGTACACAGCACCTCTGAAGGCTTTGCAAACTAATTCTTACATGGCATGTAACTTTCAGTACAGCCTTGATTTAAGCTCAAATTGATATAACAGTTGTGTTACCCAAAGTTTGCAAAGAACTAATTGATTCTGTGAGTGGCCGTAGTGAAAGCTTTCCTTGTACACAAGGATCAGATCCTGCTAGTGAAGGAGACTCACTTTTCTTCACATAAGCACCCCTAAAAGACCAGACAGCCAGACAACCTTACTCCATCATGATCTCCCAAAATGAAAAGTTTCAGGCCTTATCTGAAGAGGTCTCCTGCACAGCCCAGTAACAAAGCCCAGGGTCACCTTTCTGGTCTCTCTGGGTTTTCCAGCTGGTATTTCTCATGCCCCTGTGGCTGTGTGGTCTCCCTGACTCATCCTGACCTCTCATGGTAGGCATTCTTCCAATCAGGCTGCAGACATGCTGAGCACCTGTCCAGAGCTGGAAAGATCTGGCCATCTCAAGCACCAGAGGAAGTAAGCCATAGTAAAAGCAAGGGCTTGCCCCTCATTATGCTGAAAAAAGAGAGAGAGAGAGAACCAGACAACACCCTCTCCAACTTTGCAGGTTGTACTGTTGTGTTGAGGCTCAGAGAAATGACTTGTCCGAGGTCACACAGCTACTGAACCAACAGGACCGGAAGTCCCTCTTTCCACTACGTACAGTCACCGACCGGTACTTCGTCTTCAAGTGGCAAACGGCCGTGTTCTTAATGAAGGCATCATTATCTAATAAGGAGAAATGGCTTCTATGCTTGCAGGTGGGCAGGCTTGCCAATTTAATAAGACTCAGGGTCCTTAATATCATTAGGTCGGTGACAACAGATAGGTTTAATTAGAGCTGGGAGAGCTGAGAGGCAGAGGAGGGGGCTCTAGCCTGAAAACTCGTACCCTTTATTTGAATAAAAACAGCTTGGAGGTTCAGAGGAAACTTAGTTAGAACCAATTAAGGAATTAAAAGGCTTGACCAATAAATCAGAAACTGCAGGTGGTGGACAAGCCTAAGGAGGGGGGCAGGCAGCCTGGGGCTTGAAGGGAGGAGGCTCTGGTCTTCTCGGTGCCAATGCTGAATTCAACACCCAGCCAACTGCGCCTGGCCAGCCAGCCTTTGCAAATGAACAGGTCTTGCAACCAAGAGAAATGGGCATCCTGGGAACATGGGTGCTGTGCAGAGTCAGCGGCTACCTGCTGGGCTCTGGATGGCTTCCTGCCCAGCAGGGATAATAGCCCATTTCTTCTCTGGGATCACTACCAACCTTCTCAGATCTTCAGGGGTCAAAAGCATCATTATTGCCTCATCCGTACCTGCCATGGATACCTGTTGCAGGGCTAATAGAAGATACGGAACCCCCAGGTAAGCATCTGGCTTATAACGGATGCAGAATGAAGGACCATAGGGCAGAGACTCCCCAGAGCCTTCCTAAACTGGCCACACGGTTGAGGCCTACCTCTTCGGGGCTTGGCTGGATGCTTCCAAGGAACCTGCTTGAGTTTCCACTCATAGTGAACTTTGGGGGCTGGGCATTTACATACCCTTGTACAGTGGACACAGAACAGAATGAGCAGACACTCAGAAGCGCCCAGAAACAAATGGCTTACCAGATGGTCAGTTTCCTTTAAGACTCATTCCAGAACTGAGTAGGTGGGACACAAGGAAAAAGTCTAGCAGTCCCGTGGGTGTGTGGGGGTGGGGTGGGAGGGTGGGGGGAGAGGTAGTCAAAGGGAAGTCTGGGATTGGAGATAGATTAGCAATTAAGAACACTTGTTGATCTTGTAGAGGACCCAGGGTCATCTCTCAGCACTCACAGGGTGGTTCACAATCATCTGTAACTCCAGTTCCAGGGGATCCAACAACCTTTTCTAGGCTCTGTGGATACCAGGTATAAATGTGGTATACATATACATACAGGCAAAACACCCATACACACAAAACAATTATGTATATATATATATGTACATAAATACACATATATATGTAAGTATACACACACACACACACACACACACACACACACATGCACGCAGTGTGAAGAAGCTTAGAGGCTCCTCTGAACCACTGCTGTACAAGAGGCAGGCCCAGCATCCTGTGGCCCATTCAGCTGTGAGCTTCCAGTGAGAACTAAGGGGCACAAATGCGGTTGCCAGAACCAGCATGGCTGGGCCTGAGCCCTGACTGCTCCTTCTGGCTGAGAACACGTGGGAAAGCTATGAAGTGGCAGCTCCCGAGTAACTCTTCTTTTGGCCTGCAGTCCAGGAACAGAGGATGAAGAGGCTCAGGTTCATGTCACGGTGACAAGTGTCTCAGGCTTCTTTGGCAAGGATCCATAAAGGATACTTGTCTGCCTGGGGAGGGAGCATTACCTCATCTGTGAAATGGGTACCACATTCAGCACACCGCCTGGCATCAACTCTATTCTCTACCTCAGACTTCTACTGACTGTCTCCTGTTGGCAAGCTGACCACTGTGCCAAGCGAGGCACACAGCCATGAAGTCTCCTCTGGTTCTAGTTACCTGCTTCAGTTACTTATTACTGCGTTCACTCCGTGGCCCCGAGTGTCCCAAGGATCCGCTATGATTGTGCTGGGGTAGACATTACCCTCCCTCTTGTCAGACAAGAAAGGAATCAGAGGCAGTTGCTTTACCTTTGACAAAGGCTCTGAGACCTAGTGAGTCACCTAGCAGCAGCATAAACTGTTTTGAAAACTCAAGAATCAATGACAAGCCAGAGATAGTAGAGCATGCCTGTAATCCCAGCATTTGGGAGGCTGATGCAGGGGGATGGCAAGCTGAAGGCCAGTTCAGGCTATATCACAAGATGCTCTTTCAAGAAAACAAAACTAACCAAAACAGAACCAAAGTCAAATAGGTAAGCCACACTTCTCATCCTTTTCTAAGAAAGGCGAGGGAAATAATAGAAAACAGGAAGGAGACATGGGAAACCTGGGACTCCTAGTGACACAGTAGTCCATTAGCCCGTTCCCTGCGCCATCTGACCTTCCTTTCATCACAAGAGTCACTGGACGTTTTGCTATTGGATAGTCTCCTATCAGTCATGACCTGAAAGAGCCTTTGTCAGCTTAAGGCATCTGAGATTATAATTCTTCCTCTGCCACCAGACCCAAAACTCCACAGGCCACCAGGGAGTTGGGGGTTGAGACCAGAAACTGAAGCATCTCGGACCCTTCATCTCTTCTCCCCTTCCATCTCTGGTGGAGGAACCTCACCCACTAAGCAGAATCTGCTGTAATGACTAGTCAAAAAGAGACTGAACCGCCCATCTGGCAGGAGGTCAGAGGTGAGGCTGTTGATCCAAGCTGGTCCTGAGTTCCTTTGTTTTCCCCGGATAAAGGCTTGGGGCTAATTCCTATGACCACTGTCAATCACCTTTGTCATTGACACAAACATCTGAGAATCATCTCCATGTTGTGCCACTACCACTGACTGCTTCATGGCTGCCCATAAATGGAAATCCTAGGTCTGCCCAATGTGGTAAAAAGGAGGCCACCCTCAGACAGAACATCAGGCACACAGCACGTACCACGCTCCAGCTCAGTCACCCTCTGCAGCAGCGTGTTCAGCGTACTCTCTGTCTTCTGCCGGTGAGCTGACGTCTCATTGTGGAGCAGGGACTTCTCATCCTCCAGCTCGGCCACCTTGCGCAGCAACTGCCTTTCCAGCTCCCCCAGCCTCCGCTGGAGCACCTCTCGAAAGTCGCTTGGCAGCCCGGCATTAGACGCGTTTGTGCGGAGTTGGAGCTTTGGAAGGGCGGGAGGGGGACATATTCAGGCCAGTTGAATAGAAACTGTGGCACGCGGCTCCAATGACCCAACCACACAGCGAGAAGCTTCCAACGCAGCATTAAATTGTGCCAGTGGCTCAGAAGAGAACATTTTACCGATACCTACCTCTTTTTTCTTTTTGGTAGGGAGAGGCTTTCAAAGTCAGACAAAAATTACTTCGCTGCAGTATTTGAAACTTGTGAATCTCACTTTCCCCTCCTGAAAAGCTGATTTAGCCCAACATCTATAATTCTATGTCAATTAAAGCCCAAAACACGGGCAGGATTTCTTTTTTCAAGCAATTAATCAATGGTACAGTGAGCTTTTGTCTACAAATGAACAGGGTCTCTAAGTTCCAAAATGGTACAAGGGTAAAAGTGATCAGAGATATTCCTGGAAAGTGACAGGCACCAGATATTACTATTCCAACCCCCAGAAAGCTTTGTTTTTAGGGCTGTATCCAAGTCCTCACTTCCTATTTCTCTTACTCCTCTGCCATCATGCCGGCTCAGAGGCAGTCTGCCACCCTCAGCCACCAGCCCTTGGCAAGCTCCTGTATCTCTGTGTCCCAATGCTCCAGATTATACATTGTAGAAAACAGGACCTGTCTCGTGCTGTTCTCTATTACAAGGGTTAAAATTAAATAATATGCCTGAGTCACATTTAGAACTCAAGAAGTGTTAGCTCTTAGTAATCCTAATGACTCATGGGAGCTACAGATGCTGGAGATACTGTATATAGCCATTATGCCAAAAGAAACCCTCCAATAATTTAGCAATAATTAACACCTGTAATTTAAACATCATTTTTTTGCTAATAGGTATTTTGATAAACGCTGTTAACAGAAATGTCCACACTTCTTAAACAGGGTGGGAAGTAAGATGAAAATTAATTGAAGATTTTTTTTCCCCCAAAGTTCCAAACTGCACACAGGAGAAGATAGCGGGATAAGGTCGATTCTCCTAAAGTCATGGCGAAGGGCACCTTAAAAAAAAAACAACAACAACGTTCTGACTCGATGAATAGAGGCGTCTTTGAGGCTAATAAGGGGCTTGTTCGCATTCTGGGGGCACTGGCTTTCCCCCTCCACTCTCCCGCATATCAGTCAAATCCAGTCCTCCCACATCCCGACCCAATTTGTCAAGGAAAACACCAGATGCCCAGGGGCAGCTGACCTCCGGCGACAGGCTCTCAAGCACTGGGCACAGCCAGCGGGAGCGTGTCCCGCTTCCGATCGCGGAGATTTGCAAGGAGAGGAAACGGGCTGCCGGGGTCACCCGGTATTGCCCTCCAGGCTAGGCCGTCTGGGTTCAATAGCCAAAAACCTCAGTAAGTTCATGTAAGTCTGGTGGGTATGTCCCCGCGCGCCACGGGATGGAGATGGGGGTGGGGATTTCACCTTTCCCATCCGACAAGGGGACAGAGGAGGACAGGGAGAAGGGAGGCCATCCCAGTAAGGTCCAGAGCAGATGCGAGGCTTGCACCCCCGAACTCGACTCTCCCCATGGATGGGCGCGCGCGTACTCATTTCTCCCGCACCCTCTGTCCCACGATCCTGGGGCCACCACCCGCTAAATGGAATGCCCTCTCGCGCACAGCTACCTCGAGGCTCTCCAAGCGGTCCTTGAGGGTCTGCAGCGAGCGGCTGAGCTGTTCCACGACGTGGCCCGGGTCCCGCGGCAGGTCGCCCATGGTGTCCTTGCCCGTGGCCCCCGAGCCGCGCGCCTTGCCTCCGGCCAGTCCCTCACAGCGGGCCAGCTTGCCGGTGAGCTCTCGGATGGCCTCGCGCTGGGCACCCAGAGTCTCCTTCTGCTGCACGACGGTCTCGCGCAGCTGCAGCACGGCGGCTCGCAGCTCCTCCTCGGGGCTCAGCGTGCCGCCCTGCATGGGCATCGCGGGCAGCGGGCAGCCTGCGTGCGTCGCTTCGGGGGGCAACGCGGTGCACACGAAGCGACTGCCAGGTATCGGACTGTCCTGGGCTCCTCCCGCGGCCACGGCGAGCGCCACGCCGGCAGTCAGCAGCGCCAGCATCTCGCTGACCGGTGAGCGCTCACTTCAGCATGGGTCGCTGGGTTGCCGTCTGGGCGCCTTCGGGGCCGGCTACGTCTGTCGGAGCGCGGCGCTCGAGAGAACCGCGCGCAGCACGGAGCTGGCAGCACAAGCGCCGCCTGCCGTCGCAGAAACCCGCTCTCCGCTTGGAGCGCCGTTCTGGCCCGGGTTCTGCCCGCGCGCCCTTTCTTAAGCCTGGAGGGCGGGGCCTCTGGTGCGTGGGGCTCGAGCCGCGTCCTCTGATTGGTCCGCCCGCGTGCGCGTCACGCGGAGGGCGGGGCGGGGGCGCCTCTCTAAGCGGGCCAGGCGTCTGGGCTCCAGCGTGGGCCGTGTTCCTGAGGCGCGAGTGCGGGGTCCCCAAGGCTCCTTAGAAAAGGAAAAACTGGAGTTCAAAACCGTCATAGAAAGCGTTGGCGGGCCTCGCTCAGGAGCCCCTCGCGTGGCTCGTGGGCAGAGAAGCCCGGGGGACACCCTGACGCCCACGGTGAGTGGTGATGGCGCGGCTTCCGGCGCCGCCTGAGAAACCCTGAGCAAGATTCCACTTGCCAAGGAGGAATTTCCCCGGCGGGACTCGAACCCGGGTCTTCCACGCTACCCACTCCCGTGGCCCGCGTGGGTTTCTTCAATCTGGGCGCGGGAAGAAGCCGCGCGACGGTCGCTGGCAGAGGCGGACAGTCTGGAGGCGTTTCCAAATTCCAGGTCCAACCCCAGAGAACTCAAGGGAAAAGAAAAAAATAAGAAAGAAGGAAAGAAAGAAAAAAAAAAAAGCTCAGGCCAACCGGGGGTGGGGGGGAGGCAGGAATGGGTCCTAGCTATTACAAGGACGGACGCCAACAGACCAACATGTGCACGGACGACATCCCTCTAGGCATGATCTTATTTATTGAGCGTGACTTCAGTTTGATGTGAACAATCAGAGTCAATATGACGGTCCCCCATTCTTGCAAATGGGGGAGCCCAACAAATCCACTTTACACCTGGAACCTGTATCATCAGGTTCTTGGAGAGAACCTAATATTAATACTCAGACCCCCTCTCCCCCAAAGACTGGGACAGGTATTTCAAAAATCTTACTCATGGCTTACAAGTTCAGGGCAGTTCTGATCCACAGCTACAGATTGAATTGGTTTACTGTGAATTCAAAATGAAAATCTTTCCCCCCTCCTCTTTTTAAAGAAATTCTGTTGCAAGGTCATTAATCACATTATCCATTCTACCAGAAACAAATGGATTTGTCACTTGTGCACAGAGGCTGAGGTTGATTCTGAAAACAAATTGTATCAAAATAAATGAAATTATTATGATAATATAAAATAGACTGCAGTGATTAATCTCTAGAAACCAAATTCTGACCTGTTTTGCACTTCAAACAATAGCTTCTGTTATGTAAATAGTTGTGGGGTTTTCAAGGACAGTGTTGCTAAATTATAAGAAAAGTTCTATTCATGAAAAGGCTCTTCAAGGATTAAAAACTACAGACAGGAAATCCAGAGCAGAGGACAAGGGAAGCATGATGGTTCAGGTAAGAATGTTCATCAGTGGGAAAGGTGAATGGGGATTGGGGCTCAGGCAAGAATGTTCATCAGTGGGAAAAGTGTGTGGGGATTGGGGCTCAGGCAAGAATGTTCATCAGTGGGACAAGTGTGTGGGGATTGGGGCAGGGGTGAATAGAGGGCGAATATCTTTGTCTGCCCTCGCCAAGAAGTTACTCCTTGTTAAATCTGACCTTGGGTCTATGATTTCTTCCTAGACCTTCTTTCTTTGGGTACTAGGAAATTCAAAAGTTCAAGTAAACCTGCACATACACAGACTGCAATGGTGAAGGCAATGAGATCTCAAAGCACCTTCCAAAACAGAACATCTAAAAGATGATACTGTAAAGCACCGAATCCAGGCGTGCCCAGAATTATCCAGATATAGCCATGCGGCCTGAAGTTCCCACTCACAGATTTGATGTTCTTTCACGCATAGGCCAGGGGAGATCTTAATTGGGTGTGACAATAGACTATTATTGTTCCTATTTAGCTCTCCAGTCCTTCCATGGCATGGACTAATAATTCATATTTGCAACTACTTGAAGCTGAGGCTTGTCCTTTTAATAATTAAATCAAGTGTATTTCCAGAATTCTAATTTCCTCTTGACCAAAGAAGGCAATGTACAAGAAGACATAAAAATAGCATATATCCCCAAAATAATTGCTCTTAAATTTTTTACAAGAGTTTCCAATATGAGAAGTGATCAGTGAAGTTGCCAAACCCCAGATGGAAAGACCCAGGCATTGGGATGTTATTTTCTCTGGAGACGGTAAAATTAGAGGACTTATGCTATTTGGGGTTTTATTTTGTTTTCCTGGTACAATGGAAAAAAATCTGCTGGTTTAGGAATGAGGCGTTCTAGTCCCAATGCCAACTGTTACTAGCTAAGTGGTTTGGGGCAAGCCATTTTCTCCTCTTTGGACCTTGTAGGGAGGAGAAGGCAATTAGCATCAACTCTTTAATGGCCCTTCTGGCTTCATTCAAGAGCTTGGTAGTTTGGGAAGGAAGGAATCATGCTTCCCTGTGAAAAACATTACAGAACATTGTTTTTCTTCTGTATGTGCTATGAACCGCCTGAAGCTAAGGCTGAGTATGGAAGAGATACAGACTGAGTATGGAAGGGATACAGGCTGAGTATGGAAGGGTGGGCTCGTGTAGACAGCAGGTAGACTTTCCTGCAAAGGAGATGCTGTGCCTGACAGCATGGGAGCTCTGCCTTGATTTCTTCATCACAGCACAGAAACTGTCTACCTGAAAGAACCCGCATACATGACTCATGCTACCCATGAGAATGGCTGTGCAAGCCACAGAGCCCAGGGGCCCACAGATTTTCTGCTACTTGAGAAAGTCGTGCAGATCTGCACAGTGAATCACTGCCACCTAATCTCTTAGTGTAACTGATGCCACAGCATAGTAACCACCCACTCATTCACTATGTCTGCTGGTCCCAGGTCAGCCGAGAGCCCAGTGTGGACTTAACCCATGTGCCGGGAATCCTGATGAGCTCATTCTCCCTCCATTTTATTGTCCCATCTGTTTGGCTCCCTGGTTCTTCTCACATGCATTTTTATCTTGGTCTTCTGGGAAATGTGCTAATTTCCACCATGGTGTCAGAGGAACCCATCTTATACAGGCTTTTTTTCTTTTCTTTTCTTTTCTTTTCTGCATTTCCTCCTCTCTTTCTCAGAGCCACTTGGGAAGTCAAGAATGGGGGTGTGAGCTCTGTAGCACAGAATTCAAGGACAGCTTCCTGCAAACATGACTCAGGAACTGTCCTTGGTGCTGAGTTTCAGTCAGAGGGGAATTCAGAATGGGTGTGTGGTGTGTGTGTGTGTGTGTGTGAGAGAGAGAGAGAGAGAGAGAGAGAGAGAGAGAGAGAGAGAGAGAGAGAGAGAGAGCGCACATGCATGCATGGGATTCAGTGCTGGAGGTGCAGGAGGATCCTGATTAATCCCCTTTTATACATAAAACGCTAATACCCTTTTATGAGTGTATTTTTCACAAGACCAATCTGCCTGGTAAAAGTGAAAAGAGCTTCAGTCTCCAGTCAGGCAGCTCTTGTTTCAATCCCAGTTTTATAACTTGAGAGTGTGGCTTAACCTCCCCGGACCTTAGTTTTCTCATTTCTAAAATTAAAAGTAAATTTATGAGCAGGCATTGTTTCTCGGCTTGAGTGAGACAGTGTTTCCGGACATGTTTAGCATATAGCAAGCACACAATAAATGCTAATAACTTCTCTTCACCAAAGCCAGACCAGAATTATATAAGTCCTATTAAAAACAAAATTAAAATTTCCCCTTATTCTGTACAATATCCTTTAGGACTAAATACAGTAAGAGTCTGGGGCAGCACAAGCCATCTGAGAGATGACAAGGACTGAGCATTCCAGAAAAATGTACAGATTTCAGCAAGTAAAAGATATCTAACTCTTTGTGTGTATGTATGTGTGTGTGTGTTTAAGATAAATCATGGTATTATTGAGATTTTTATCAAGTCAACTATTTTGCATCTATGCTAACTTGGCGTCTATGTAAAGGAACCCAACTGAAAGACTTTCTGTATTTAACATTTCAGCAAGCGAATTTAAATTGCTGTGGAATCTGAGAGAGGCCTGCCCCTCTGATAAAGCAAAATTTCCTTTCCTCAGTGCATCTGGCTTCTCCCTGAATGATGTATCTCGGGTTTAATTTTGGAGCATGTGATAGGAAACATTGACTTTCAGAAAATGTTCCTGTGCGAGGGTGTGTTACAAGTGGGTAGACAGCCATGGTTTGGGGGAACGGGTTGTTAATGTAACTATTGATTTCAGCAAACAAATGAAGGCTCGGTGGCACCTTCTGATTTCTAGCAATAGAATAAATCACTAGATAAACCAGGAATAACAGCTTAGCGCGGTTTCTAAAGGGAATGGATTCTGGACAGTGAGCTTGCTGGGGATGATGTAACTCAGTTGGTAGAGCACTCGCCTAATATAAAGCCCTGAGCTTCACCCCAGCACAAAAAAAGACCCCTTGAACTTGGCTTGCTTTGAGGAAATTGAACAGCATAGTCTCTCAATTTCTCTATATTTGGAAACACTAAGGATAATACTTCTTTTTATGCCAGTTTAAAAGTTACAAAATTGGAACTGGGGAGATGGCTCGGACGTGGGGGAGGTGCTGAATATGCAAATGTGAGGATGTGAGTTCAAATCCCCAGAATCCAAAGTAGTGTGCCTACAAGAAGGTGGAAGGGGGAGACTGGAGAATCTCCAGACGCTATCCTGGCATGCAAAGCAGTAACACAGCCTCAAACAAGGTGGAAGGTAAGGACCAGCACCTGAGGATGCCCTCTGACCTTCACACATGTGCTGCATGCGCGCGCGCGCACACACACACACACACACACACACACACGCACGCACGCACGCATGAGGCAAAATTGACCTAATTGTGACAAAGATTGCAGTTCAATATCTCCTATCATTTAGGCACACAGACAGCTTGTATGAACATTTGAGTTTTAAAGATTTTTTTTTTTGCTTTATGCATATATGAGTGTGCCTGAGTGTATGTGTGTGCACCACTTGCACATAGGAGGAGCCTAGGTCAGAAATGGGTATCGGCTCCCCTGGC